TCATATATATTCAGATATTTATTATTATTCTTTTTGTTAATGAAGAAATGGTGTTAGAAAAGGAGACTGATACACTCAAAAGGTTGCATACCAGGCTCTCTCCACATATCTGTTCTCACAATAATTTCAGATTTTCCAGTGTGTATTTCCCATTTAACCCAAATACAGGCAGATGGTAACTCTTCCACAGTTACAGGAACTATGACAAGTTAGAATAATTTCTAAAGCTGCATATATTCTAAGTCAACAGCCTGTTTTCATGACACACGTCAACATTTTGGTAGTAACAGTGTGAAATGGACTAGCTCACTTCCCAACTTTCTACCAACACCAAACCATACATGTTGTTTCCATTATTAGCAAAGACCTGAGACAATCCTCATTAACCACGTGCTTATATCACAAGAGTTTTAATACGTTCTTACCCAAATCAGGTGGTCCTATCCTGCCCTGTGGTTTATTCAGACATAGTAAGGAACACTCATCTGTAGACATAGACATTGTATTATGATTTTTCTTCCTGACCTCTGGTCACATTTGACTCATTAAGGACAGGCTGTGGGTTGGGAGCTGGCCTCGACTCCAAGACACTTTTACCTATCAGAAGAGATATGCTGTTTTCTGCAGTGATTCATCCAGCAGTTCTTAGTTCAGTACAGGATAAACATGAGTCTGAGGTTCCGGGTCAGGAATCAGAACACTAAATCTTTGCAAAAACTTGTTTTGGTAAAGAATTATGGCTGTTAAGAAAGAAGGAGGGGGAACTGAAGAGAACAGAGAAAATTGCTTAGGGGACTCTTGTGAATTAGATTTCAGCACTGGCAGAAAAATAAAGATGTTGCCCAGTTGAGGGAATTGGGAATTTAAGGACTCAGATCTCTCTGGAATAGGAGGGACCTGGAAGAGGGCCTGCATTCCCTGGTCAGGCCTGGCCAACTGCATACTGTCATTTCCCTCCAACTGCTTTATACTGAAGTCTATTCTTTTTACAACACCCAAAATTATACATGTTGGTAAGAATGTGACTTTGGCAGGGAATTTCTGAGTTTCAAAAGAGTACAAAACAAAGAAGCCAATGAAAAAAGAAAAGGATGGCTCATCATGGCCCCTAAGTTGTGAAAAGGCGGTGCTCTATTACTGGGAGCCTAAAAGATGGCTTTCTAATTCTTTCTTGACTTTATCTCAGAATATAAGCTCACAGACTTCAAGTTATTAAGCGAAAAAAAAAATTACAGTTGCAATTAACACAAGACAGAGAGAACAATACGGCAATGCAGAGAATGACAAAACAGAAAATATATTTACAGGATGCAGGTGTTTATCTGCTGAAAGTCTAAATGCATGATATACATGTGACTATCAAAGAAAGCAAAATTATTGAGATATCAGTGCTCAGTGACACAGCTAACTTGAAATTTGATGGGCTCATTTTCCATTTTCTGCAAAGTAAGCTTGAAACTGCCAGTCTAGAAGGTGTCCTATAAATCTCCAAGTGTGAGATACAGTTTGCAACTGTTAGTATCTTATCACATATCTTTTTACTTTCAGAAGCAGCCCATAGGATCACTGAGAAATATTCAATCAGAAAATATCTCAAAGTTCATTAGAGTCCTGAAATGCTAGGATTTCATGATTTTATAAGTCCAGTTTAAAGGCAAATTAGTATGGCAAAGAAAAACATCCTTTCAGGCTCTCATACACTTATAAATAAATCTTACAGCTTGTTAAGCTATATACTAGAGGAGATGAGTGAAGTTCAAGTTTATTCTATCCTATTTATTAGCTGATCATAGTTCTAAAATTTGAGTCACTGCTCAGTCTATTGAACTAATCTGTCAATGTATTCCTGTGACTTACTTCAATTTCACACACACACACACACACACACACACACACACGTACTTTTCTTTTTTGTCAAATGTTTTCATAGATAAAGTGGGCACACTTGCATAAATGAAACATAAGAGTTGACAGAAAGATAATGCAATTTTATAAACTAAATTTAAATTACCCCCATAGAGTCAGGAGATTGGCAAGGATGTAAGGAATTTCCGGGTATACATATATGTTTAACTGTAAACAGGCTGTTTTAAAGTCATTTGGGAATAGATCCTATGATGACTTTCTAAAGTTTCTATAAAAGCAAAGAATGAAGGTTAACCTGTAAAAGCACAGACCACCATTATTCTACATGGTCATATATGCTATTCCAAACTAGTCCTAAACCAAATTACCTGTGTTTTGGAGTCACCTTTGTAGCATAAAAATAATCAGGTACCTGGGCCCCATGTCAAGAAATTATGCTCTATTACCTGGGAGTTGAATCAATGTATTTGCAATTTTGCAAAGTTCTCATGGTGACTGATGTGCAATCAAAAGTCAGATCTACCACACATCCTCTAAAATGTAGACAGGCACTCACTCCCTCAGCTTCTGGGAGGGTTAGCCACAATCAAGAGATTTTCTAGGTTTTGTTCTACATAGCCCAAAGGGACCTCCCTCACTCAAGGTCGTCATTACGAGCTAGTAGAAGCTGATACCCAAGACTTGGTCAAAGAGAAAGAGGGGACAGCAAAGGTAGAACTCACTTGCCTCAGCCTTAGAAAACCCCAAATTATCTTTAATCCCTTCCTTCTGTGAAATGGAGTTATTGGAGATGGGGGAGATTGGGTCAAAAGTCCAAAGGCTGAGGCTCAAAGCTGTTTTTGCCTATAGTGGCTAGTGGTCTAAAAAGTCATACAGTAATAAGTTTTCAGTGCCAAAAATAGAGATCATAACAATATAATAATTACTACTAGGTGACCTACTTTCCTGAGTAGTTATAAGGAATCAATAAGATAATCTGAACCACATAAAATATTGTGAATCACATAAAATATTTGATACTCATGTCTTTTAAGTCTAAAATTTATCACATATTATGTGAAAGAAAGATATTAAAGACACTTATGGGTAAAAAATGCTTTAGTCCTCAAATGTGTATATACTTGGCATTTTACACTTCATGCATTCAGTGACTTAAAGTAATAAAATATGATGGTTTTGTTTGCTCAATGTGCAACTTCTATATAGAGCTAAAATCAACCATAAAAATAAATTGTCTCGGGTGCCAGAACAATTCACCTAAAAAATATCAACAAATAGTGCTAGGACAACTCTTACAGTGCTAAGGAATTAAGCTGATCCCTAACACACATCATAAACAAAAACAAATCAAAATGAATCAAACTCATAGGAGCAAAAATCATTACATTCTCAGAAGAAAAAAAAAATCTTAGAAGAAAACTGGCAGAAATCTTCATGATCCTGGACCGAGTGGTAGTTTCTTACTTATGACACCAAATACACAAGTGATAAAAGAAAAATATCAATAAATTGAACTTTATCAATATTAAAAACTTTTTATGTTTCAGAGGACATCGTCAAAAAAAAGCCCTACTGGATAAGAAAAACTGTTTACAAATCATGTATCTGATATGGGACTTGGATTCAGAACATCTCCAAAAAAACCTCTTCAACTCAGTAGTCAAAACACAAATAACTCAATGATAAAACGGGCAAGAGATCTGAATAGACATTTCTCCCTAGATGAGATTTAAGTGGTCAATAAGCAAGCAATGAATGGCCAATAGAGAAATTCTAGTTCAAACCACAATGAGATACTAATTGAAATAATCCTATTAGGGTGACTGTAATGTAAAAAAAAGAGAGCTAACAATAAATATTGACAATGATATAGAGAACTTAGAGCTCTCAGACCCTGGGAGAAGGTATGCTATAGCATAACTGCCTTAGAGGATAGTCTGAAAGTCCTTAAAATGTCAAATAGAGTTAATATAAGACCCAGCAATTTCACCTTTAGATAAATTAAAATATATCAGCATAAAAATCAGTACAGAGGGTTGAGGATAGAGCTGAGTGGTACAGCCTTTTCCCAAAATGTACGGTTCAATACAAAAAAACAAAACAAAACAACAACAAAACTAGTACAAAATGTTTATAGTAATGTAATTCAGAATAGCCAAAAAGTGAAATAAACCCAACTACCTACCAGTTCTTGATGAATGGTGATGAAATAAAATGTGGTATACGCACATTCAATAAAAAGAAATAAAATGCTGACACATGCTGTAACATAGATAAATCCTGAAAACAGCATTCTAAATGAAAGAAATCAGTCATAAAATGCCACATATTAAATTATTCCACTTTATGAAATGCTCAGACTAAAAAAGTCCACAGGAAAAATAGACTAATTTTATCAGGGACTAAGAAGGTATGGATAGGGGCTGGGGATTTAGCTCAGCGGCATAAGTACCTGCCTTGCAAGCAGGCAGTCGTGAGTTCGATCCCCGGTACCGATAAAAATGAAAAAAAGACAAAAAAAGAAGGAATGGATAATGACTATTAATGGGTATAAGATTTCTTTCTGGGGTGATAAAAATGTTCTAAAATTAATTTGGTAATGATTGTGCAATTATAAATATACTAAAAATCACTGCATTGTATCATTTAAGTGGATGAATTATATAGTATGAGGGTTCTATCTCAATAAACCTGGTAAAAATAATCTTATGAGCTAAAGAAACAAGACAGAAATAAGAATTTAAATATAATCCCTGAAAAACGGTTATATCTATTTTGCTTTGCTTATAAATGAACTCACTGTCTAACATTAAATAAATCAAACCACACACTTCCTGTGTGGAAAGAGACTAGACGGGAAAAACTGATTGCGGTCTGAAAGAATTCAGATTCCCACCAACACAAAACCATTATATATATTTCATTCCCACCAAAATGGACTCAAAAGTTCTTAGAAATTGACTCAAATGAAAGGAATCAATAACATACTGCTGGCTTGTGCACATTAAAGTCTGTGAGGAAATAACAGCACTTTAAACATGAGCATCTAAAATCCAATTGAGTAGTAAATACAAGAATATTGGGAATCACAACTTTGCCCAGTATTTTACTTTCTCAAATGCCAGAAATTTTACCTGTGAGCTTTCAGGATCCTCTGAGCAATGGCATCACCCACTCTGTTGAACACAACTTTGTCATCAGCACAGCTTATAAAAAATTGGTTCTATGAGAAAAAAAAAATAGGACAATTATTCTTAGCAGAACATAAACTCTTCTTGGTATAAGGAAAATGCGGTAAGGAATGAAGGTTGCACTGACTTTTTTTTAAATATTCATGCGGTATGCTCTGACCACTGAAACCACACCAGGAAAGTAAATGATACAATAAAGTCCCTCACCTGACTTGAGTCTCATGCATATCTAAATCATTGGTCACTTACAGCATCCTAGTCAAGTAGAAAGCCACATTATTATTTTACCATGAGAGCATATAGGTTATATCCTTAGATTGCTAAGAACATTTTAAAATTAGGTTTTTTGAAATTCACACATTGTGTAAATGCTTACAATTAAAAACTTCTATTACTATTATATTATTGGCATATATCCCATGCTAAGTTTACTTTTTAGCAAAGTAGGTGGCAGAGACTTGGTCTATTTCTTTCCATCCTTTTCCACTATATCTTTATATCTGCTTTTATCTTGACTCTTTGGTTTGGGTGTCAGATTATCTTTGAACTTCTATCTTAAGTAAGTATGGTGCACCCTTTTGTAAGTATGGTGCATACATAAGTAAACTAACAAAATGGGGAAAAAAGAAATATATTTCCCTAAGTATTTCTGCTATTTGTGTATCTATAAAACATTTTTAAAACGTATTAGAAAACCAGCTCTGACATTATCATAATGGTATAAGAATGTTTTACTACATAAAAGAATGTTAAAAATTAGAGAAAAATATTATGAATACCATGTGCTCGGAATCGCAGACCGTTAGAATTTTCTGTAATTTCTAATAATTACTTCAAAGTAGTGTTTGCTAATCATTTTGAGGTGCAAAGATATAGAAGCAATAACTCAAAATATGAGTATCACCCTTTTACAGGATTATCATTTTGATTACTATACAGGCTTTTTCACTTAAGTACACAAATCTGCAAAATAGCTCCAGAACACAGATTTATAGAAGATATCATACAGAAACTCTTTTAAGATTGTGGTTTGCTGTAAGGCATCAAAAAACTGAAGTATCAGTGGCAGCCAAAGCATAATTTTCCCTCTACCCCGAATTCATATTATGAAGAAGCTTTATATTCTTCAGCAGTCCTTTACTTCCTGTTTGGAGGAGTAGATCATATGCTAATCACATAACCTGGCCAGAGGAATATCTGTTAGGTCTATGTCTACAGCCAGATATATGTACTCGCCATCCTTGACCTTATTTAATGAAGAAAATTGATATTAGTACTGGTAAAAACAGATAAAGCAAAATGATTTTAGATAATAGATGAGTCAGCCTTAAAATTTTACTTTATTATGTCATAACTGACAAAGTTAATAATGCTAATAAACTTACTAGATTTTTATACAGAATTTACTAATTTTTCCTTTAATGTCCTGTATATACTGCAAGCTCCCATCCAGGATATCACATTGTATTTAGGCTGCTAATATTTTTACTTAGCTTTCTTTTTTTTCAGGCCTAAGAAATAAAGCTTCAATTCTTTGCTGTCTGCCTTTAGTTTTGAACCGTCACTGCATTGGAGGTTGCAGGGAGAGACAAGATTCCAAGTGAAGGAGATAATGGCTAGGATGGTTTTTCCCAGCTAATCCAGTTCCCCTGAAACATTTGTTTTATTGGATGGGGAAGAAGAGCTAGAAAAAAGGGAAATATTTATGATTTATTTTTTCCACTACTTTAACTTTTGTATTTTCTCAGGATTTTCCGAGTATTCTGAGCTATTTTTATATCCATTTTGAAGTGCAATTAAAGCTTCCAAACTAAACTTTAAAAAATGTTCTCAGATTTTCTCAAATATTCTTCACACAGCCTCTAGAGTCTGGGAAACAAAACAAAACAAAACAAAGCAAACTGAAAACTCAGTTTGTAACAAAAGGTAGCCCACACAGAATTGCAGAAGGTGACTCACCTATAGGGCATAACATTGGGTTACAAAAACCAATCCCATCATTTTCTACTGTAAATTTGTACTTTAGTGTAACAATAGCCAGATGTACATCTCAGTAACTGCACTTGGGAAGACAGGAAGCTATCTTTCTGTTTACCCACTTAGTCTGAAGGACAAAAGTCAAGGTATGTGTACCTGCGCAAAGTGTCAAACTGAGACTTTCACTCACATAATGCTTCCTCTGACAGTTTTTGCTTATGTTTAACTGAGTGCCATGGGGTGTAAGTGAGGAGAAATATACCCACACCATTCTGTTATGTAATCACGTAGTTTACATAATGGAATGTTGGCGTGGCTCACAGTATCTGGGCTTGGGGACAACAGGAACCCATCTGTGCATTCACCAGTTTGGCAGACAAACACCAAGGTGTGTGGATAGGCGCTCCAAAGCAGCAACATGTATGTACTTAAGATTTGTTTTTTTTTTTTTTAAGTTTTCTTTTGATTATTTTGATAGTAGCAACCCAGTTCAGTTACAACAGCACATGAAAAACCAGATTTGCAGGTTTTGGAGGAAGTTGAAGGTGAATCACCAGGTGACTCCTGCACAGATGATGACACTGACCACGTGGGTCAAAGTTCTTGTGGCACTGAAATAATCCACATATAAAGACACAGAGAAGGAAAACTTCCCTGATTGAGATGATGAAGAAGTGACAATTATAGTACATATTTAACTTTGTATTACTAATGGTACAAAATGATCACACAACCAAATGGAATGATCCAAAGTTAGAAATATATTTGAAAATATAGTGAGGACGTTGGCAGGGATGAAACCTATCAGAATACCAGAACTGCCATTCAATGTTGGAAATTGTAACAGAGGGAATACCACAAGATGTGAAATACACAAATGATGAAATGGAAATAAAATATTCCATATGCACCACTACTAAAAATGTATTTATTAGGCACCTCACTAGCTGAACTGTAAGCATTCATAGTGCTGTCATATTTAGCAGGGCTTTTCCACGGTAATTGCAGGAATATAAAAGACTTATGATGTAAAAGATTTATGGGTGTGGGCTTGAGCTTTGTAGAATAATAACAACACTGAGGAAAGTTGATTTCCTTCAGAATTGCCTGAGATTTGTTGACAAAACCATCTACCAAGAAAGAAAAAGAACTGATAATCTGGCTACTCTCTGCTTCTTGTTTGCAAGTTTTGTTTCAAAAGGTCAAGCAATTTACACATCATCTGAATACATGACTACTGATGAACACCTTGCAGCACTTTGTGTCACTGTAGCTTTAGGTAGTACACTTGGGTGGTGTGGCATTTACAGTACAATCAAGTGAAAGGAAGGGAGTGACTCAGCTCCTTTGTTCATATTGCACTAAAATGTTGACAAAACTGAACCCCGAGATAGTAACTTTTTACAATAAAACAAAGGAAGAGTAGGTGTTGTCGATGAGATATGCAGCAACTATGATGTCACTCAAAACACAAAGCATTGGTCAATGGTTGTGTTTTACTTGATCCTAAACATGTATGGCATAAGTAGTTTGATAGTTTACCAAGAAAATCACAAGGGCAGGGCTGGGCATGGTACTGCATGCCTGTAACCCCGGCACTTGGGAGGCTGAGACAGGAGGACTATCGTGAGTTCAAGGCCAGCCAGGGCTACAAAAAGTTCAGACCAGCCTGAACTACATAGCAAGACCTTGTCTCAAAAAAATCAAGAAATAAAAAAGTGCATGAAATCACAGAGAATTTTTCTTAGAGGACTGGAACTGAACCTCATAAAAGATCAGTTACTGTGAAGAAAGCACAAAATGTTTCAACCCAGGGAACTTTGTAAAAAATTGTGGAGCACACTGATGAGCTGACAGGTAAACAAGCAAGTGTAACAACACAAAGACCTACTATGACAAGAGGAAAAACCAAAAACTTGTCCACTGTGCCTTACAAAAAAAGGACATGAAAACAAAGATATGTGCTATCAGTGTAAGCAAAACTTATGCATGGAACATGCAGTTGTCATGTGTGAAGACTACCTTGAGTATGACAATTGAAGCAAAGATTATTTCTGTGGTAGACTTGTTTGCATTTACACTCTAGTTCACATGAGTTTTTATTTCTGATGCTTTTAAGTTTCATATGTAAGTAAACAGCAGATATTAAAATGTCTATGCTAAGCATTTATTACATATTTAATATTTTATTAATATATTATTTTCCTGTTAGCTGTACATTGTATAATACAGTAAGGAGTTTAAGACAAAAGAAGAAGACAAAAGATGGGGTCAAGAATGGCCTGGCACCCAGGAAAGGAAAGCTAAGTACATGTGTTTCAGCATAAGTGAGACGTACGCATGGAACATGTGGTTGTTATGTGTGAAGACTGACTAGGATATGACAATTAAAGCAAAAGCTATGTTGGTTTTTCATTGTAGTTCATATAAGAATTTATTTCTGATGTTATCTTTTTGGTTTTACAAGCAATTAAAGAGCTGATGTGAAAGTGTTGATGTTATTTGCTAAAAGCACAATACCTATTGAGAATTTAATACCTTATTTTATTGACATTTTATGTTCCTGTTAATTACACATTATACAATACAATAAGAATCTCCTTACAAAATATCAAGACCAACAAGATATCAAGTATGTTCTATACAAAGGCCTGGAAAGTGAAACACCTGTGCTGTCAGTGTGAGCAACAGGTGTATATAAAATGCAGAGTTATTATGTGTGAAGACTGCCTTAGATGTGATAATTGAAGTAAAGATTATTTTTGTTGTAGAGTCGTATTGATATTTTTATTATAGTTCATTGTACTCACTGTTTAATATAATAAATTTTATAAAATTAAAATTAAAGATTTAGTAATAGAAACATTCTAAAAAATAAATGTTTATATACCCACAACAACGTGTGTTTAACACAAAATTTTCCATGCACCTTCCCTACTCCAGCTATCCTCAAACCAGTGACATCCAGTGGCCTCTGGCAATTTACTCCTGTCTGTACCCTGTCCTGAAATAGCACACTTCACACTTAAACCACCCCGTCACCCAGCCACATCAACTTATACATCCATGTTGCTGTATTTCTGAATAATGAATAGTGAATAATGTTATAGTGAGTGGATACATTTTAATAGCAAAGATCTAGAAGACTCCCATTAGAGTTTTGAGGTAATGAGAATGCAAAGTGAATTCTGGGCATACTGTAGAGGTAAAAATTCAGGTGAAATGGGTCAGCAATTCTCATTGCTTCAACACACACGTGTTCATTACACACTTAAAGATACGGCAAGTCTTGAATCGGAGACGCTGCAGTTTCTATGTGATATTTAGGGAAGTAAAATTTACATGAGCAGGACTTACTTCAATGTAGATATAGTGCTTGCTGTTCTCTATCACATGGACATAAGCGTTGTGGATAGACTCCTCGTGGTACTTGATACCAGCAGACCAGTCAGCAGCCGAGCGGAGCAACTGCAAGGCAGCAATCAGGAATGAGCAAACATCACAGACAACACTCGATACACTTAGGCAGTGAAGTCGCTGTTTCTTTCTTTTAAGCAACTGAATGATTACAGCAGTTTAATTATTTATTGACTAACCAGGAGTTAGTGAGTGGGCATTGCTAGTGGAGAGGAGGTTGGATGGAAACAGGTCCTTGTGGATGGCCTATAAGGAAGGTGCCCAGCTGGAAAGCAACATCCTAAAAATGCCTTCTGCTCAGGGTTATTCTCAGTCAAAACAGGAAACCACAACTTGTGTTTCTAAAAAGAGTATTTCAAGTACCGCTTCTGCTGGCTACAAGTCATGTAATCATTCGCACTCTTCTTACGACAGTCTCAAAATCGCACACAAGGACCTGTTATTTTGGTGTATTTATTAACAGTATCCACTGTCACTCTCAAAAGTATCCTGGTTCGGGCCATGTGGTGAGGTTGTCCAAGCTCTCATTTAATAATTGATTATTCCTTTTCCCCAGATTTAAATGTAATCAAATTAATAAATTCTAAAAGATAGTATATTTAGCTATAAAATCTGTATTCTGCCTTTAATTAATTGTCTGATCACAGGCATGTTGCATTAACTCTACATTTTCTCAGGGTGATTACAATAGAAACCCAAGAACAGTAAGAAAGCGGAGGCTCAGGTTAGTGAAGTAACTCACATATTATCACAGGACCTTGAGTTTGCCTCTTACCATTGCTACCTATCTTTGACTACCACACTGTCTCTTTTTTACCATTTTACAATATTTGTGTGTCATACCAATTAATTTGGACTCGACTTTCTCACCTTCCTCACCTAAAACAGATCAAAGTGGTGCTCATAACCCCTTCCCCCTAAATGCTTTCCCAACTCAAAAATCCTGTTGCCCAGAGGCATATCATTTTCTTAGAGGGCTCTTTAGCCTTCTTCAGTGACCACATCAAATCAGACATTTGGCTCTATTTATTCTTTGAATCATTTATCACACTCGAACCTTTCTTATCACTCATATGGCATCTCTCTATTCCAAGACTCACCTGCTCCCACCTGGACAGCAAGAGCTTCTGGCTCAGATACCTGAATATAGTCTAAATACACTACTCCTGAGCAGGACTGCCAAGATTCAAAGCCTACTTTAATTACTTACTGTTCATCTTGAACACATTTCTTAATGTTATTTGAATATTTCTTTTCTATAAAATGAAGTATCCACTTGATATTCTAGAGAAGATTAACTGAATTACTGTTAAGTATAGTCAGAGACCTAGCAGCTGGTAAGTAGTACATGAGTATTATTAGCAAGAGCATTAGAGGATGTATTTAAGCAGTGGCATGTCACATCTGAGATGTGGCAGAGCAGACTGTGGCTGTGCACAGCAGGGTGGACACAATACTTCCCAACACTAAGCGACCACTAGCTGCTTTTTTTCTCAGCATTCTTTAGCGTTGCTGTATGATATTAGCATATGGTAAGTCTTCAGTAAGTACTTTCTGATATTTCTTAAACAACAGCAGATTCCTATCATAATAAACTTGGTATTTCTAATTTGAAATGAATGCTGAAATTCATGAGATCAACTGAAGTTAAAGGCAAAAGGAATAGTCCCATGCTGATTAAGAACATTCAGAGTGACTCAATGCATAATCAATTTTATGTCTATTATGTATAAAGGGTCTTATCAAATTGTTACTCTAATTAATACTTTTAGAAATTGCACCTGGGCATGATGGTGCACACCTGTAATCCCAGCACTGGGGAGGCCAAGGCAGAGAATTGTTGCAAGTTTGAGACTAGCCTGTGTTATAAAGTGAGTTCAAGGCTAGCCTAAACTGCACAATGAGACCTTGGTCTGAAAAACACAAAACAAAGAAAGAAAAGAAAGAAAGAGGGAGGGAGGGAGGGAGGAAGAAAGGAAAGAAAGGAAAGAAAGAAAGGAAGAAAGAAAGAAAGAAAGAAAGAAAGGAAAAAAGAAAGAACAAAAGAAAGAAAGGAAGGAAGAGCGAGCATCTACAAGGATACTGAAATGCAAAACTGACTCCATTTCAGTAGTTCTACAAACAGTATTTCAGAACGGGTTTGTTATGGCTTGTATTTGGATGTCCCCCAAGGCCTCATCTAGTTGTAAGTGGGGCTTTTCAGACGTGCCTGGGTGTAGGATGAATAATACTGGGATATGATGCTGGTTAAGTGTGCGATGCTAAAATTTAGGAAGGAACCACCCATAAGGAGGGCAGCCGGGAAGGATGAACAGGACAGGCAGGCTGCTGCTGCTGCTGCTTGCAGCTCGATGCCTCCTGCCCACCCTGCTTTGCTATGGACTGTCTTTCCTCGGACATGCCACACCTCTGCCAAGTTACTCTGCCTTGGAGTCAGCTGACTGTGGGCTAAAACCTCTACAAGCTGTGATCCAAAATAAGCTTTTCTTCCTTTACTTTGGGTATTGGGTGTTTTGTCTCAGCAATGAGAAAAGTAAGTAGCATGTGATTCAAAATCACTGATCATGTCGACCTTTATAAGGTTTATTTACTCTGTAGGTTTTAATTACTACCAAATATCTCCTTTCTAATCATTTTAATTAATGTTATTTAGATAATGTTATGCATACAATGAAACTGGAAAATTTACTCTTGGACATGAATAGTCAAATACCATGGAAGAAAGCTCGTAAGGAAAACTTCAGTAAAAAATGGAAGTGAAAAAGTATCTTGATTTTTACATCATATTCAAAGAACTGAATTATTGTTCATCAGTTAGAAATAACAAAGTTTAAATAGTAGCATCAATTTCTATCTATTCACATTAATGTTAAATATTCAATTTTGTAGCTAACGGGAATGGGACCGAAAAATACAGGTTATACTGAAAAGATTCTTATGGTATAAACCCCGATCTATTTCATATAAATCTGGGAGCTGTATAAAACTACAATGTATACTAGTAAGAAAGAGATTCAAGATGTGTGTCATAGCTTTTCACTTATTAACTTGTCCAATGTGAATGAGTTAATAAGTGAAAAGCATCATGGAGGCTCAGCTTCCTTCACTGTACAACTCAAACCTCTCTTTTTCTTTCCCTTCTCTCCCTCTCTCCCAAAGTCACTATAAAGAAAATATTGCATTGTAGGGAGCCGAGTGACAGGCATTGCTGCCTCGATGTCTCTCTCTCTCTCTCCTATGGGCACTGCGTCTGCCTACATTAACCATAATCCTCTTCTGCTTATGTCACATATCCGGATGTGATGGTAACCCTGTTGTATTCATCTGTTTAACCTCTTCCTGTCCCAGATCCCGCCCTTAGCCTATAAAAGGTGTGATTATTTTCTGAATAAACCGGAAGCTTGATCAGATTATTTCGTCTTGCTTCTATCTCTCTTTGTCTCCCCTATGTCTTTTATTTAATCCCCGTTTCCCCTCCAGGAGTTCTAAACTTGTTGATCTGCAGGCCGGATCATTGCATAACACAAATGTGCTACTAATGGTAGATGGCAGTTGGTAGTGGATATTGTATATGTGAGGATATCTATCTTATAAAAAGTTGTGTGCAAAGTTTATAAATTATCATGATAGTAGCATCTTAGTCTCCTCAAATCCAGAAACCTTAAATTCTCTTCCTTTTTCTTTCTCCAAATTTGTTTGGATTCAAAAACTCAAAATAGGACTGTTAACTAGGTGTCGACTTGCATGTTGATTCAGTCAGTTTAGAGTGGTTTCTTGGACAGTTATGTTAAAGAAGGAATTCTTAGAACAGGGCATGCTGGGAAAGAAGTCTGAGGTTAATTACCAACTGCTGCTATAAACACGGAGGCTGAAAGTCACATACTTGCCACTTTTCCAGCAAAGAGTAACAGTGAAAACTTTCCTTTCTAGAGACATTGCATGTTTAAAATAAACAAAGCTGTCCATCTCAAAAGACCATACTGTGTATGAATTTGTGAGAGCACATAAGCAAAACTGGAGAAGAGAGGACTGGCTCCCTGATGCATGGAATGAGCTGAATACGCTACAGCATTGGGCATGGGGGTGGGCACCTCTGTATCCTGAGGTGCTCAATGTTATCTATCCTATTGCCCAAGAGCAGACTCATATCTTTTACTCACAAGGAAAATGCACTTAATTGGAAAAACTCATCATTTGTGGTCAAACTTGAAAGATACCTTTTAACAACACAAGAAAAAAAGTCACTTGGGACAATTAGCCATTTATTATTCTTCTAACCAGTTAAAATCTGCCTGTCATCCCAAGATAAACTGCAAATAATGGCATTCCTTTTTGGTCTGTTTGCACTCTTGACCCTGAAACTCTGAAGTTATGTAAAAAATAACTTCATTGTGAGATCTAGGAAATCTTTACCAATATTCCAATAAGTCAAGCATATTTGGACTGACTTCATCGTTTCTTTTTTCAATTTAAGATTCACTCTTTTCTTTTTTCTTTACTGACCTGACCAACTCATCTCATATTTCTATTTTAAACCAGTGTAACTGAGATAAGCCTCAGATCCTCCTCTACACGAATGCATGTGGCTTAGTTTACTGTTCTACACATACTGAAACTCAAATACAACCCACACTTTTTAAACCTCAGGTCTGAAAATATAGTTTTAAAGTATATGAATATGGCATGTTTCTGGTTTTATGGTGTAGTCTCAGTATTTAACCAGGACCAATCATTTTCCTTTGTCCTCTGTCCAAGTTTTAAACTTAAAATACAGCCTTGTTCTAACCATAAGTACTAATCCTCTTACACTGGATGGACCCAAGGCAAATATCTATGCTAATTCACAGTTTTTTTTTTTTGAAGGAAAACTTTTATCATTTTCTTAGATTTTGTCCCCAGTTTTTTTTATCTCTCATCCCACTTTTTTTTCTCTTACAATTCCCTATAAATTCAGCAAATATCTTAATATTTTTTGTTTTCCTAAGCTTCCAAATCCATATGAACAAAGGCTGTAGATCACAAAAACACTTTCTCTCTGTCCCTCAAACAGGCTGGCATCTGTGTAAAACCTTCCAAGCAGCATGAGTTGAGGAAACAGACAAGTGCTAGTTTGTCAGGCCTCATTTTTTCTGCATTACAGAAGAAAGGAGCAGAAAATAAGGTTGAGAAGCTGGTCCACAGAACATAGCCTATCCAACAAGCTTTCAACCTTCTCTCAACCATCACTTCTTTTTTTTAATTCAGTGTCAGCCATTTGTGTCACAATGTGCAATTATTCACTTACGGTAATTCTTTAAGTCAAGAGCACAAGTTAATCTTGTGGCTGAGGGAAAGAAAGTAAAGATAGTTTTTGGAAAATGAGATTTCAAGGCCTAAGAAGATTTCAAGACCTAAGAAAAAAGATATAGTTGGGGGCTTCAGGAAGCAGAGAAGATGCACAGGGAGGTGGGCAACAGGGCCTCTCAGAAAGCAAAGCTGATTTGCAACTTTGCCCTTCTGGAACCTTGGTGGTTACAACAATGCTAGGTCTTACTGGAAACAACTTCCACCTGGAAGAGATACACCAGGTGCTACAACCACACTGCTTAGAATGGGGTCGCATCGTACCACTTACTTAGGTTAGCAATGCAAAGCTTTAGTTTCCTTGTCTGTAAAGATCAGTGTGGAGATGGTTAGAAGCACGGCTTATTAACTGATAAAAGTAAATCAGAAAAACCACAAAAAGCTTAGCACAGTGCTAGACACACAATAAGCGCTCCCTGTCTAACATCAGCTTCTGCCAGCCAAGACCCAGGGTAACACTCACAAGTCTGTCACCACGGGAGACCTGGTTCATACAAGGAAAAAGTCCTCACAGCAAGAATTTCTAAGGAAACGAGAGCATTGGTTCCCTTTCACCCACCTACCTACCTTACTCTCTCGTCCATCTGCACTGTAAAACACACAGGTCCTTTCAAACAGACCCTTTGGAGTGTCATTTGGATGTTTTCCAAGGGTAGGAACAGAATTTTCCAGTAGTATAATTTGGATGTCATTTACTTGCTTGTAAAGTTTATTTTCTTTTTTCTTTTCTTTCCTCCCTTTCTACCTTCTTTCCTCCTGCACTCTCTCTCTTTCATGTAAACAGCATGTGGGAGATGATGCCAATGAAATTATTTTTCTCAAAATAAGTTGGCGTTCTTGGCACAACTATTTTAGGAATGATTCTATCACAAGCCATCCAATTTAATAAAAAGCATTGTTCCTATGTATTGATTCCTCACTGATGCTAACAAGGCATTAGCCATTTTCTTTCTCCTAACCCTGCAGAGAGGTTCCCGCTGACAATATTATATGAAGTGTTAATGTATCTCAGGTCCATTATGACCCGGGAAGGGTTGAAGATGAGTCAAATGCTCAGTAAAGCATCCGAAATGGCAATGAAAGCATTCGGGAACCTAGTTTATTCTTACTAGACAGAAAAACACATTCTTTATAAACCCCCGTATTAGCAGTCTCAGAAGCACTTTTCTCACTTCCTCCTCTAGCCAGGCCTGTTCCTCTTCCGTCTTCTCTGTGTGCTCTTGGCAGGCCTCTGAGAACCCAGCACTAAGAGGAACTGCAGATTGTCCTAAAAGTGTGGGTGAAAGCTGCCGAAGTCAGCCCTCAGGCCTGGATGACCTTTTCAGAAGAGGTGATCTCTGTTGGTGGTGACAAGCACTCACTCTGCCCACAGCCCCCCTCCCGCCTGGCTGTGCCCCTCTACTGTGGAAGGGTGCAGCCAATGTTTTCATAGTCAGAGGGTAAATGACTGGGTCCCTTCTGCAGGTGAATTTTATCTACTATTTATTTTATCATGTCAATGTTCTTTTCACTCATTTCAATAAACATAGGACATAAGGATTTTTATCCAGAATTTGCCTTGGTAACCCTTCCAGAGAAATATCATCTTCTTTGCTGAAAAATTCTGAAACACTAGGGAAAGCTTAAAAGAGCCAGTACTGTTATAACACATACTGCTATACTCTGCTAAGTCTCATCACTACCCATTATTCCAGCCCAGGGCGCAGACACCTAAACTACCCTTGCTTTATAGGTGACAAACATACACACACGTGACGTCATTTTCCCAAGGTTACACTGGGAGCTAATATGTAGGACAGCTGGAATTTTAACAGACTACAGAATCTGCTTCTTAATTCATACACCATATTGCTTCTTTACATTCAAGCCTGTGGCCTCTAAATTCTGCTATGAAACAATCATATTTAAAAACAATGCATTGAAAGATTAATTTGATTAAAATTTTCAACTGAGTGGTTGTCTTAAGATAGCTAAGAAAGTGAAAGGTTTGAAAATATGATGATAAATCCTTTAAAAAATTAAGTAGCCTACACAGAGCTATGGCTCTATCTCCTTGACCCTTCTGGATTCTTTGGAAAACTAGAGGTTGGCTTAGACTCTAGGTGCTATACATTCCAATGTCCGTGATAAGATAAATGTTGAAAGGCATTCAACAATGAAGAAAGCAAAGCAACACTCTGGTCAGATGTTTCCAAAAAAGGAAAAACACAGCAGGGTACAGTTTTTTGTTTTTGTTTTTGTTTTTTAATGGTTCTGGCCCTCTCAGACTTCCTGATCGCCAGAAAGATGCATTTTCTGGCTGCATCCATTTTCACAGTTGAAATTATTTCAAAACTTTGAAAACTAGCAGGGTTCCAGATTTTGCCAGGTCTAACACTTTTTACTGGGGATAGAGTTCCCTAAGAAAAGAATACAAATTATAAATAAAAAAATTAGATATGTGTTTTAAGAGTGGCCTGGGGAGGTAAGGAGTTCCAACCCTATGCAGCCCAGAGGCTGGTACTGAGTGCAGCTTCTGAAAGTGAGCAGCTCATTCCTTATCCCACGGCCTTTGCTCCAGATAGTCTGTAGGTAAACTTCACTGTAGGGACTTAATGATGAAACATTAACTGTGGAAATATCAGACCAGAGGGATAAAAAGACATTATAATCTTAGAATGTAAGAATTCACCAGTGGTGTCTTATTTTCTTATTTACCATTTCTCGTAATATTTATCTTATTACTGACATGGAGCTAAACCATATGCATGATGTTTTGATTTAGTTCATTATGTTTTCCCACAAAGGTCCACAGGAAAAAAGTTTCATTATCCAGGTACACGTTCTAACCAGTGGTTTCTATTTCTATATAGTAATAAATATAATTACTTCAAAAATTAAGGGGCGTAACTGAAGTGTGTTTCATTTTATTAGGGGCCGTAAAACTATATCAGCAGGACTACAGAGAAAGTAATTAATACTTATAATGATACCACAGCTGCTAAGACGCTGAATGAAAAACTTCCCTTTAGCTATCTGAAGGGACTATAGATATGACTCACACCAATTATATAGCTTTCAGATAAAAAAAAAAGGAGGATCAAAGAGTGGAAATTAATTGCTGAGGCCACCTGCTGCTGTTTTAGATACATTTTATTATGTTTAACTGAACACTTTTCCAGAAGCACTGCCCAGCAACAGGTACTTTTTTAGGTACTTTATTATACCTGCTGTCAAGCTGCAAAGTTTGTATCCCCTATAAGAGACTCCACCACAGGGGCTGCCAGAGTCCTTTGTGACCTCAGTTAGTGTACTGGCCATCAGTCATGACACTGCTCTGAAGACTCAGTCAGTGACACTGAACTAATTAGCATTCACTCTTCCTTTGTCCCTAATTTTCAGTCATGTTCTAGTCATCGTGCTCCTGTGTCTTTCCTAAAAATATCTTCTGTCTGGCCCTTCCTTTCATTTCCCCTTTTCCTTGTCCCTTCATATATACATATATATATATATATATATATATTACATGCATATATATTACGTATATCAGTACATAGTACGTGTATAAATAAACTTTAGAAAGAGGGTGAATTTAACCTTACAGAGGAAATATAATACTAAATTCCAAAAAGATCCACTCAGGCTTGCTTTGGAAAAGTCCTTATGGAAATCCGGAAGCCACTCTAAGACACTGAGTCCAGTAAAAGGAACATTACCCAGTAGCACTTAGCGAACAAGAAAAGCCAGGCTTACCTGTACCCTAGCACGGACAGCCCCAGGCACTTGGTATCTCAGCTCATGAGCTGTGGTTTGAGACTTCGGAAGCAGAAAAGGATACGAAAGGGACCGATATTTTGGTTTCACAATCTAAAATTTAAAAAAAAAAGCAGATGAAAAGATTCTTCCCTCCTTTATAATTAGACATTATAAAGAAATGTCACTTAGACATTTCTAAGTGAAAAGCAGTGTATTATTTATTTTTTTTCTAATTTCCATATTACCTTCTTTAACTTTTATAGCAAGCATGTTATAGGGATTGAGCCCAGATAGCACTGAGTTATTCCTCAGCCTTTAAAAAAAAATTCACTTCTAGACAAGGTCTCGCTAAGTTGCTAAGGCTGGCCTCCAACTTGTGATCTTCCTGCCTCAGTTTCCTGAGTAGCCAAGTATGTAAGTGTGTGCCACTGTGCCTGGCTGTTTGCTGTGAACATTTCGCCACATCAATACATCACTATATCATTTTTAATAAATTCATAATAAAATAGAATGCATATTCATAATTTGTTCAGCAAATTATCAGTATTTTATTCATACCTAATTCTACTTGAATTATTAGAAGCAATGTCAAAATAAATCACTTTATTAGATTATTTCTTTAGCTTCAATACCTGAAAATATTTTCAGATTAAAAATTGCAGAGAAAACTGATTGGTGTTTTACCATTCTCCCTTTCCAGGGTAGGGCACAGGAGTATTAGAAACACTCAAATCAAGACAGGTGTGGTGGCACACGTCTGCAGTTCCTGTACTCTGGTAGGCCGAGGTAGGGGGATTACAAGTTTGGACCCTGGTAACCTAGCAACTTTGTGGGACTGAATTTTAAAATAAAACTTTCTTTTAATGGGCTCAGTGCAGAGGTCCTGGGCTCAATTCCCAGTAGGAAAAAAAAAGTCCAACTGTAGATACATGCAGTGTTTTTAATCTTTGACAGTATATACAGTAGGTTAAAAATACTATTATTTTGTTTATTCATTCATCCTCTCTAAATTTTTGTTTAAAATATTTCCATTAGAGCTTCTGCTAAGTTTTGTATTGATGTGAATGATAAGTAAAGAGAGACTGTAAATTGTAGGTAGAATTGATTTCCTGCCCAAATTAGCAGGAGGAGTAAGTATGCCTCATGTTACAAATAAGTGGACCCTTCACCACATTGGATGCTATGTAATGAACTTGTGAATGCTTGCACGAGTTCTTACAGCAATGAAGCCCCCACTGAGGACACTGATTTAAGAGAAGAAACATGGAACAATACTGTTCACCCTGCTCAAAGCCAACTTTCAGATTCCTCTACCTGATTGAATGAACCCAGCACAATTCCAGGATTGCAAGGGCCTACCGTGGGAGCCCTGTCATCTAATTGAGACTCCTGTCCACTACGGTAGCCCTCCACATGGCTGCTGAGCTAGCCCGGTAAATACTTCCTCAGTACTAAGAACCCAAGATGTTGAATCAAAACCATGGATTCTGCCAGAAGAATCTGTTCCCTCCACACTTGAACTGTCTGTGGTATGAAAGCTCAGAAACATTTTCTCCTTTTTATTTTTAATGCCAAGAAGCACTCAACAGTAGATGGTGCCACAGATGCGGCCACAGCCGCCCCTTCTGGCAAACTCTCTAGGCTTCTCTTTGGGCTAGACCTGCCTCTTCTCATGTGGACTGAGTCACAACAACATGCAGTACCTTGGTGAAGTTCCATCGCTGGATGAAGTGACGTGCCACATCACGGGCTGCCTTCCCATGGACTGCGGAGGCAATGTCATGCCAGGGCATCCGGGGCATAGAGTACCTGTCAATGAAATCTGCCCAGGGGCACCAGACAAGGATCCATCACTTTTCCATGCTGGGGACAGAGGCACTCCGAACCCCAACTATGATATAAAGGAAACCAGTTAATCAAGCCTGGTAAACGTGCGTATTTCTGGGTAGAACACTGTTATAATCGGGAAACACAGGCCTCATGCTCAGGAACATGGTCCTCATGTACTTCCTGCAGTATGTTCCCTTTATACTCTGCTCATCACCAGGCAAGGCAAGATATGAGTTGTTACAAATTATCTAAAGCTGTGTGATTTATGTATTTGTCTTTTTCATTCTGCTCGATAGCAGACTATATATGCAAGGCCCTCTTTACTTCTTCCTAGACAAATAAGCACAGCAATAATCTAAAAATATGCCATTCTAATGCTGGAATATAAAGAGATAATGCATAAAAGAAGATGATCAAAGGAAGGCTGCCACTACAGATTATTACCCCAAAGAGGCCTATATGACACGTAGGGGATTCCAATAGGTTGGCTCCATTTTGTATTCTTTTTTTGTAAGTATATGTATGTGTGTGTACATATATGTACGTATATAGATCATGTTTCTAAAGTTTTACCACATATTCAAAGCAAAACAAAAGGCATTTAGATCATGCACATGCGTATTATTGACTTGCTCAAAGGTAAAAGATGAACTATCCTTCCCATGATACTTACCAGCAAAAGGTTTATCCAGTTGAACCCAGTCTTTGAAGACAAAGTTGCAGTAGTCCTTCCCATGCCAGAATCTGGTCTCCCCATGGAGCTCTCCCACGCCAGTCTGTAAGCTGCGGATGGAGCCGGTATCTGTGGATGCGGCAAGACTCACTCAGAGACCGTGGGCCGGATGGTCCCTGCGTCAGAGGCTCACCTTGCACTTAAGGAACACCTAAACATGTCCTGACTTTTCTTATGCCATAACTAGGGTGGCCTGTGTCCATTCGATTAGAGAGTATGAGATGTCAAGGCTGCATACTTCTCACAGGTTTGTTTTTAGGGACTAGCTGGGCTATACCCTGGTTCATCATTTGCCAACGAAATGTAACATTCTCAGGGAGCTAAACAGCTTGTTCTCACTACCTGCCTACCACAGGGGTACAGGAATAAAGAACTCTAGCGGCAGGACTATGAGAAACAAGGCAAGGTGAGAGTAGAGAAACATAAGACACTAGGCAACTTCAAATTCAGGCCTCCTCTCCTTCCTCACAAATGAGGTGCCCAGCCAATACGTAATTCCTGCCTTCTGCACCTTAAATGAACCTCATATGTACAGGCCTTCTTGATTCTAGAATTAACTAACTAAATGGCACAGACCTTTACCTTTTGGGGTCAGAAAAAGGTACTGTGTAAAAGAAAAAATTTGGCCTATCAGACAACTAGGATCTTTTGGTCTCCTAATGTTCTGCATTCCTAAAATCACAGAGGACACTCATGAAAAAAAAAATATAACAGACAGAAGCTTATGGTTGAAGCACAAAAGCAGCAATCTACGGTAGCATTTCACAAAGACCTCCATGAGACCATTTTACGTACAGGTAAATACTTCCAGTTAAATAGTGCATAAGTTTAGGGGACACATTCACCATCAAGACAATGAAGCGGATAACTACAAATCACAAATGCAGCACTTGCACAAAAGAGGCACGGAGCAAACAGACAAAGAGTGCGAAAATACTGCTGGATGAGTAAACAGTACTGCTTAAAGTGGCCTAAGAGATCAGGACTTGCTGCTCCACTGTCACCACTGCCACACTCTCCCGAAACTGTCTTTATAGAATGCAAAATTGTTGCTTAGAAGCCTTCTGGGGTCACTGACAGTCTACAGGAAGTTCAGGTCCTGAAGTCTCGGAGTACACAGAAAGCTGTTCCAGGTCTAGGGCCAACCTTTGCGGTCTTTGTCTTCCTCCCACTGCGGCCCAGGCCCCGGGTTACCACATTTTTCACTGTATGTGGGAAGCTCTGGTCTGCTTTGCCTATGTGCAGTCTGTGCATTATTCCCTTTGCCTGGAATGTTCTTTCCTCCCTGATTTCCTGAATATCCTTCAAGTGACCATCTCTGTGGGGAGGGTCACTAGCCCTGCTGCCAGCCCAGCAGGAACCGCACCCCTAAGGCCCCTGTAGAGACGCCCCTCCTGCCCCCAAGTGTATCTGCTCTGGAGTGGGGAAGGCACCCTTCACTCCTGTGTGCTACTGATACCCAGGAGGCAACTAGTAAATACGTGCAGAACAAAATTTTATGTGATCACTACATGGAACTACTATATTTAGAACTGAACAATTAATCTGCTGAAGATTATGGAAATTTTCATTAAAAAAGACTTAAGTTGCTGAGGTTAACATAACTAATGTTAAAAACAGACTTCTTTTGACTTCTTCCAGTGATTTATTTTCCTGCACTACAAGATTGAGAGGCAAAAGCACTGGTAGGTCTCTTTTTTTTTTTTTTTTTTTTCACCATTAGGCTCTTTACAGTGAGAGAAGTACATTATCAAAAGAAAAAAAGAGGGAAGGGGACAAAAAATTGAGATTAAAAATTCCAACTTTAAAAAAATATAATTTGCTTTAATTGATTAATAAAATAGGCTTTTTAAAAACACACTTGTTTAAAACTTTTTTTTTAAACTTAACAATACTTTATAATAAGGGGTAAAAACAAAACAAAAAAAAAGCAAATTCTACATCTCCAAAAACCGTCTTGGTACCCACGGAATTTAACAGCTCCTAGTTCAGATTTGTTTTTGTTTCTAGCCAAGACAAATTATTCTAGATAAATGGTGGTTCTCCTCAGAACCAATGGATGAGGAAGGCATCAGAATCAAATGTTCGGTGCACCAGCTGCTCAGGCTGCACAGGCATCTGTAGCAGCTCTCAGGGCTTCCAGCATCAGCACAGACCTAAGGCTGTGCTCATCAGGCCTTACTGGCTCCCAAAACACCTCGTCACAGCATCTACCCTGCCTGGAGTTGGTCATCCTTCTCTGTCAGCAGCCCGGACCCTGCTGCTGTCTTTCTGTTCCTGCCCTGGGTCTCTGCGCCTTGCCATGTCTTCCTCCTCCTCATTCCTCATCTCTTTCTCAAAGCTTCACTCCTGTACCACTTCTCTGCCCACCCTCCTCCTTTCCAGCCTGCCTCTTGCTCACTAAGGCTGTCTGCCTTGAGTTTCTTCTGTCTTTTTTCTATAGGATTCCCAAAACATGTACCTTCAGACCTGGCTTCTCTTTTGACTACCAGACCTACAATCACTTTCGACGCCCCAATGAACATGATTTCCCTGGTTGTTGCACGAGAACTTTAAATCACTCTGAACATTGAAACTAAGAGCATCACTACGAATGAGGTCCTCCCTTGAAGTTTCTGCTTTCCGTCCATGATTACTCAGGCTCCAGCCTCTCAATCACTTTTGCTCTTCTCTGACTCTCTGACTTCACTCCCTTCCAACCATCACTTCCCACATCATACTGAAGTTCTGCTGATTTTCTCTTGTTCATTTCAATCTTGAGCCCAACTGGCAGAACCTAGTTAGCCTCCCTTTGTCACTATGTATCCTTCATAAAAACCTCACTTTAACCTCCCATCCTGGGGATTCTCCAACATTTAGTGGACTGGGGCAATGTCTCAGCCTGATTTGCAAGTCCCTTCATAAATTAGTATTGATATACTCTACCAGCCGAATCTACACAAATTATTTAACCCTCAACCACAATTTCAAACTTCCAAAATTCTGAAAATCCAAATTTTTTTCATAGCCCATTTGTTAGCAAAATCTGAATTGAAAGGATAAGAAATTATTTTTATTGATTGCACTTGGTATTGCATGGGTATACACAGTTTGCTCACAGTCTAGCTATTTCCTGGATCCTGCAGGAAGCATAATACAAAAAAGGGTATAAGTATTAAATTTCTAAAAGCTAGAGCCTTCTGGTTTCTGAAGTATATAAAATATTACAGATTTCAGTATTCACCAGCTTAAATACTTGGATCTAGTATAGGTCCTCAATGAGTTACATATTTTAAAAAATCTTTTGATTTTTAAAGTTTTGGATTTTGGAATCTTGGAAGGGCTTATACCTGTAGAAGAGATTTCACAAATGCCTCCTTCAGAAGGGGTATTGACCCTTGAAGAATTATCAAGATACCAATTTTTAAACTTTAAAAGAGGGGACGACAGGTAACATCTACATAGTGCCCCCTGCAGAGCCTTATAGACACTCCAGGTCCAGGGAATGGAGTTTGGGAAACACTGCTCTGGGAGGACTTGACTACTCTTTGGCTTCTCTTTTTCAGTAAATGATTACACATATTAAGAGACACTGCAAGCAGGAAAAGAGAAAAACCACCAGCGTCCCCATTTCCTAACAAGCCAGTAATGTCTCCAGCGCACCTCTGCCAGGTCCATGAGGGATACAGCAGTAGCACCCCACACTCGGCATCTTCCTGGGCTCATCACACAGCCTTCTAGTTCAGCTCGCGGAAACCCCACTTTCCCAGGGGGGCTAAGACCTGGACACAGACCCACCTCTCCCACCCCCCACTGGGGCTCTGCCAAATGCCGTAACTACCCTCCCGGTCACTATCTGCCACCTTGTTAGCACTGAAGAATGATCCTAGAAAAGCCCAGGTTGCAGCATTTCTATCTTTGCTCAAAAACATCGATGTTGGGAGCCGCGTCTGTGATAGCTCGCCTTGCGCGGCGGACGTGCGGCCTATGGTAAAGAGCAAAGCCTGAGGTAGATTACCCCTCCCATCGAATATGTTAGTTTCCTGCTTACCGCGTAAACAACCCGCTCAACAATATAGTCTGCCTGGCAACTGATGATGTTAGCCAATCAGCTTGCCTTGCTTACTTTAACATGATTGGACACTGTACCCGTATATATACCGGTGCCACCCCTGGGCGGAAGAAGAAGCCAGGTAGAAGCCCAGAAGTAAAAGCCCAAAAGGAGCCGCGGAGAGCGGACCGGTAGAGGCTTTGGGGCAGACTGAAGCACAAAAGGAGCCGCGGGGAGCGGACCAGAGGAGGCTTCAGCTGGGAGAACCCAGGGCAGGCTGTACGGAGAAGGAAAATAAAAAGAAAAGGTTGTCCACTACCAGACTTTGTCGTGTGTCCTTCCTGCCGGCCGGGAGCGGACATCGACATTTGGAGGCCCGCCCGGGGACTGATCACCCCCGAGACGTGGAAGTGGACAACGCTCCAGTACAGAGCTGCGAGACAGGTGAGTTGGGGATAAGCCTGGGCTCTGGGTGGCGCGCACCTACAGGGCTTTTAGACTCCCCTCAGGCTCACGCGTAAGTGGCGGATTCCTTGGGCCTCACGCGGTGAGTAACATATTAAAAGATGGGAAACATGTTAGGTAGCAACACTAAGAGCGAGGGTGGTTGTGGAGAAAGCTCTCAAGAGCTTACAAAAGTACGCAGGGTATCTGAGCAGGCCCAGTCAGGGAGCTCCCGAGAGGGGTCCGTCAAGGGGAACAAGGATGCTAAGGAGGAGGACAGGGCTCTAGCCTCGGAGTCGTCTGACTCCGAGGACGAGGGAAAGTTGAATGGCAAGGAGGCCAAAGAGACCAGCTGTCAGGAGCCTAAATCGCTCAATAAGGAGTCGCAGGGTTCTTTTCCAGCGTTGCCCCGCGAATTGCGCTCTGCTCAACCTGGTCTGCGGAGGAGTAGAGAGCTCCTGAGCGCTCCCCGGCGCGAGAGGGAGGCGAAGCCTTCCGCCCCACCTTGGGGGCCGTTTCCGGAGGCGATTCCTCGCCACGAGGCGGCCGCCTGGGAGCTCTCTCCCCTTTCGCCAGAACAGGAAGTGATGCACGG